CCCATAACCAAAACTGGTGGTTTGATCTGTAATGAGCAATTATTTTTATTTTTTCATTGTCTTGGCTGCCGTGCTGAGGGCTGCAGACTCCTACCACTGTTTAGCGTTTGAATTTCACACTGAGGTGGCTCCCTCTAGTGATTCGACCTCATCTACATGCTTCTGACCACATTTTGTTTCTTTCCTAAACAGGGGACCTGTTCCCAGATGTGCTATAATATCTTCATTGTGGAGACTGTGTGTGTAGCCTGGTTCTCCCTGGAGTTCACCCTGCGCTTCATCCAAGATCGCAGCAAGCTGACCTTCCTCAGACAGCCCCTGAACCTGATTGACGTGGTAGCAATCCTGCCGTACTACATTACACTAGTGGTGGACAGCACTTCCAAAGGAGAGAAGAGGCTGGGCTCAGGCAACACCTACTTGGACAAAGTGGGCTTGGTGCTGCGTGTGCTGAGGGCCCTGCGTATCCTCTACGTGATGCGGTTAGCTCGCCATTCCCTGGGCCTGCAAACTCTAGGCCTGACAGCACGCCGCTGCACACGGGAGTTTGGACTGCTACTCCTTTTCCTGTGTGTGGCGATCGCACTATACTCCCCCCTGCTGTACTTGATTGAGAATGAAATGGCCACCACACAGGAATTCACAAGCATCCCTGCTACCTACTGGTGGGCTGTCATCACCATGACAACAGTGGGCTATGGGGATATGGTGCCAAGGAGCATCCCGGGTCAGGTGGTGGCTCTGAGCAGCATCCTAAGTGGCATCCTCCTCATGGCCTTTCCCGTCACCTCCATCTTCCACACATTCTCACGCTCCTACGTGGAGCTGAAGCAGGAGCAGCAGAGGCTCCTGCAGAGGAGGACACACTTTCTACTGCGGAGCCGCATGGCCGGGCTAGGCAGCAACCTGTCCTTAGAGAGCGACATGCTCTTTCCTATTGGGTCGTCTGACACGAGAGAAATGGATGACTGAGACTGCAGGACAACTGAGGACATGAGAGAGTGGGTCTAAAATAGAAACCAAGGATGAAGGAGGTAACGCATGGGATTGAATGTGTAACTAAGACAGGAAGAGAGGCTGACGTTCGATGGATTGGCTGATTGAAAGGAGCGTCAAAAAGTGAGACACAGAAGAGACAGAGATTATTTTTTCTTCCCAAAAATGCAGCTTGATTTGTAGCAGTGTACACTTAAAGAAAACGACGAAGAGATGAGAGAGAAAATAAGAACAGCAAAAAAAGGATCTCTTTATTAAACGCATATAAGAGCAAACATAAGTCCAGCTGACAAAAAAAGATTAAAATACGCATAAACCTCGAGCTTACCAGTGACCTGTAGTGTTAAAACAGTCATATTCTGAAACGTGTTTATGAACAGAAGACACGGCTGAAGAGCACAGTCACGGCTTCACATCATTCAACAACATTGTGATGTTTTTTTTAATCTCTGGTTTCAGTGGATTTGCTGATGTTGTGTGCTCTCGGGACAGTGCCAGTTAACTGAAGATGCTGTTTGCTTTTGTTAAGTCCCAAAGATATAAACTCCTTCCCAACTAAAATGTGACTCTTGATCAACTCATTATTTTCTAACTGCTTTGAAAACATTGAAACTTATGTTGGGGTTCCTTAATAATACTGTGGCACAGCCAGCATCTACACATTACTTATGATGTCCTAACTGTCCTTCTTCTACACTTTGGGGTTCATATGCAATTTTTGAACACGTTCTGGAAACAGCATTATTGTGCTTGTAGTTACTGCATTTGCTGTGCATAGCTGTTTATAAACTATATCTCACTTTAAATTGGATTTGAGTGGAATCTCTCCTTTTTTCTGTTGATGATTCATTGATGCCTCTTGTTTTAACTTCAACTTTTCACTTTAGAAACAGGGAAAGGAAACTGTTTTACTAAACTGATGCCTAAAGACATCAACCATGGGAACCAGACTCTCTTGGTGAGCTTCTCTTTCCAGACTGTATCACTTATATTGTTATAAATTGATATTTCAGTCTCATTTTTATTTCAGTCTCATATTCAGTTACTGATGGTTTACACCAGTGGTTTTCAAACTGTGGGCCATAGGCAGTTTCACTGCAGGTGGCATGTGGACAATTAGGGTAAATATATGCAATGAAACAGCAGTGAAAATGTTGTGATGCTAAATTTATTATTTATTTAGTATTGACTCTCCAATAATACATACAGAAAACAACAACAA